AATATCTCAAGGATATTTAGTTTACTGTCATGTTACAAGACAAAGGAAAGCAGCAAATCCTCAGTATTTATAGCTGGAAGTATGATCGATATTTCAGCTTTAAGAGTTACCAAAAACGATCAAAAATAGTTCAATGGCGACTTAACTCATTTAAAAACCATAGCCTGAATACGCCGCATTTTACCACGTGAATGGAGACTCAGAGGACTGTCAGGTTTAACTTGTTCAACATCCCAAGTTCACAAATAAAGGAGAAACTTACGTGTGTGTTTTCAGCGGTGAATGAATGAATCAGTGTCCCACTGCGGAGCGACAGGACATCAGCCTTCAATAGACACACAGAAGTGGTGGAGATAAGATTCAAAGTACCTGTTTTACCTTTTCTTCTTCATTAGGTGTTATAGGTGTTATATTTACTGTTAACTTCCGGGAAGCTCAGCTGTTCTCCACCGAGCTCTTTTACACAGAGATGATGTGTAAAGAGCGACATCTGCTGGAGACTCTGTGATAATGCAGGCTAGATAGATGGAGCATACATTCATGGGTTTCTTCTGTAGCAGGCAAAGAAACAAAATAACATAATATATAACAACATAAAATGAGGCACAATAAGGTGAGGTTAAGGAATTATTATGCTCATCAATCCAATTCATATCCACTGTCCCCAATTCAGACATTTATCCAGTTTTATCCATGTAAGTCCATATTATATTCAAGTCCAAGTGATTCCAATGGTTCCTTCCACTTCTGCAGAAATAGACAAGACTCTCCATCGATATAATGTCCTATTTTTTCCAGAGTCACAACCTCAGAGACCAAGGATTTCCACATAGAAACGGAGGGAGGGTTGCCCCTGACCCATTTCATCATAATGGCTTTTCTCACCAGCATTAAAAGCGATTGAACCACTTCCTTTTGCTTTTTTAAGAGTCAGGGTCATGTCCAAGCAGACATAAAAGTGGATTTGCTGTACTGATGTTTGCACATAATGCCCTCCAGAAGCTGAATTTGTTACATTCCCAGGAGCAATGCAACCAAGTGCCTACATGAGTTTTGCATTTGGGACAATTTGGTGAAATCCCAGCTGTAAACATACTATAAATGTGCGGTGATATATTGATGTTATATAGTATATTGCATTGTAAATCTTTATATCTATTGCAGATTGAGATTCTGGAAGGCAACCGCAGGATCTCTTCCCACACATCATTACCTGTAACATATTTGAGCAATGTGTACCAAGATGTCTTTAACCATGTCCAAGTTCAAATTTAATATCTCTGAATTAAATTAAGAGATAAAGTGCTTTTGCCCCCTTGTGATCCAGAACTTCTCTAGCAGGTGAAAGTCATTTGAAAATTCCAGCGACTTGTCTTTCTGATACAAATAATGTCAGAGCTCTGAATATGCAAATACTCACATTCAGGCAGTATATAACATTCATATAGCTCTCTTCTTATACTCTTTATACCTTTAAATGTTGTATGGCCACCTTTTATCTCCCGATTCAAGGCTAACAACCAAAAGGAGGGCAGCATAGAGTAAGCTAGAATTACCACTTCACAGTTGTATGCGGGTGGTGGTCCCCATCTTCAAGAAAGGGGACCAGAGGGTGTGTTCCAACTACAGGGGGATCACACTCCTCAGCCTACCCGGTAAGGTCTACGCCAGGGTGCTGGAGAAGAGGGTCAGGTAGATAGTTGAACCTCAGATTGAGGAGGAGCAATGAGGTTTTCGTCCAAGACGAGGAACAGTGGACCAGCTCTTTACCCTCGCCAGGGTGCTGGAGGGGGCATGGGAGTTCTCCCAACCAGTCCACATGTGTTTTGTGGATTTGGAGAAGGCGTACGACCGTGTCCCCTGGGGCATCCTGTGGGGGGTGCTCCAGGAGTATGGGGTTGGTGGCCCTTTGCTAAGGGCCATCCAGTCCCTGTACCGAAGGAGCACGAGTCTGGTTCACGTGGCTGGCAGTAAGTCGGACCTGTTCCCGCTGAGGGTTGGACTCCGCCAGGGCTGCCCTTTGTCACCGGTTCTGTTCATAACTTTCATGGACAGAATTTCTAGGTGCAGCCGAGGGGTGGAGGGTGTCAGGTTTGGTGACAGGAGGATCTCGTCCCTGCTATTTGCGGATGACGTGGTCCTCCTAGCTCCATCGAACAGTGACCTCCAGCTCTCGCTGGGACGGTTCGCAGCGGAGTGTGAAGCGGCTGGGATGAGAATCAGCACCTCCAAGTCTGAGGCCATGGTCCTCAGCCGGAAAAGGGTGGATTGCCCACTCCAGGTCGGGGGGAGGTCCTGCCTCAGGTGGAGGAGTTTAAGTACCTCGGGATCTTGTTCACGAGTGAGGGTAGGATGGAGCGAGACATTGACAGGCGGATTGGGGCGGCGTCAGCAGTGACGCGGATGCTTAACCGGTCCATTGTGGTGAAAAGGGAGCTTAGCCAGAAAGCGAAGCTCTTGATTTACCGGTCGATCTACGTTCCAACCCTCACCTATGGTCATGAGCTCTGGGTAGTGACCGAAAGAACGAGATCGCGAGTACAAGCGGCCGAAATGAGTTTCCTCCGCAGGGTGGCTGGGCTCAGCCTTAGAGATAGGGTTAGGAGCTCGGACATCCGGGAGGGACTCGGAGTAGAGCCGCTGCTCCTCCACATCGAGAGGAGCCAGTTGAGGTGGTTCGGGCATCTGGTAAGGATGCCTCCCAGATGCCTCCCTTGGGAGGTATTTCGGGCATGTCCAACCGGGAGGAGACCTCGGGGCCGCCCCAGGACACGCTGGAGGGATTACGCCTCGGGGTTCCCTCGGAAGAGCTGATGGAGGTGGCTGGGGAGAGGACTGTCTGGGCTTCTTTGCTGAGGCTGCTGCCCCCGCGACCCGGATAAGCGGAGGACGACGAGACGAGACGAGACGAGACGGTTGTATGCCAATGTGAACCAGTAAAGTTGCACTTGCAGTTTACATCCATGGCTGTGAAAACATGGGTACTTCATGGATACTGCCCAAATGTCTCCACTGCTGTTCCTGAGATATGAGCATAGAAACATCTTTTGCAGAGCATTATGATGTTACAGTGAAGCTGACCTTTGATCTATTGGGTATAAGATGTCATCACTTTGTCATTATATCCTGTCAAACATTTGTGTGAAATGTTGTCAGCATATACAGTACAGGCCAAAAGTTTGGACACACCTTCTCATTCAATGCGTTTTCTTTATTTTCATGACTATTTACATTGTAGATTCTCACTGAAGGCATCAAAACTATGAATGAACACATGTGGAGTTATGTACTTAACAAAAAAAGGTGAAATAACTGAAAACATGTTTTATATTCTAGTTTCTTCAAAATAGCCACCCTTTGCTCTGATTACTGCTTTGCACACTCTTGGCATTCTCTCCATGAGCTTCAAGAGGTAGTCACCTGAAATGGTTTCCACTTCACAGGTGTGCCTTATCAGGGTTAATTAGTGGAATTTCTTGCTTTATCAATGGGGTTGGGACCATCAGTTGTGTTGTGCAGAAGTCAGGTTAATACACAGCCGACAGCCCTATTGGACAACTGTTAAAATTCATATTATGGCAAGAACCAATCAGCTAACTAAAGAAAAACGAGTGGCCATCATTACTTTAAGAAATGAAGGTCAGTCAGTCCGGAAAATTGCAAAAACTTTAAATGTGTCCCCAAGTGGAGTCGCAAAAACCATCAAGCGCTACAACGAAACTGGCACACATGAGGACCGACCCAGGAAAGGAAGACCAAGAGTCACCTCTGCTTCTGAGGATAAGTTCATCCGAGTCACCAGCCTCAGAAATCGCAAGTTAACAGCAGCTCAGATCAGAGACCAGATGAATGCCACACAGAGTTCTAGCAGCAGACCCATCTCTAGAACAACTGTTAAGAGGAGACTGCGCCAATCAGGCCTTCATGGTCAAATAGCTGCTAGGAAACCACTGCTAAGGAGAGGCAACAAGCAGAAGAGATTTGTTTGGGCCAAGAAACACAAGGAATGGACATTAGACCAGTGGAAATCTGTGCTTTGGTCTGATGAGTCCAAATTTGAGATCTTTGGTTCCAACCGCCGTGTCTTTGTGAGACGCAGAAAAGGTGAACGGATGGATTCCACATGCCTGGTTCCCACTGTGAAGCATGGAGGAGGAGGTGTGATGGTGTGGGGGTGTTTTGCTGGTGACACTGTTGGGGATTTATTCAAAATTGAAGGCACACTGAACCAGCATGGCTACCACAGCATCCTGCAGCGACATGCCATCCCATCCGGTTTGCGTTTAGTTGGACGATCATTTATTTTTCAACAGGACAATGACCCCAAACACACCTCCAGGCTGTGTAAGGGCTATTTGACCAAGAAGGAGAGTGATGGAGTGCTGCGGCAGATGACCTGGCCTCCACAGTCACCGGACCTGAACCCAATCGAGATGGTTTGGGGTGAGCTGGACCGCAGAGTGAAGGCAAAGGGGCCAACAAGTGCTAAACACCTCTGGGAACTCCTTCAAGACTGTTGGAAAACCATTTCAGGTGACTACCTCTTGAAGCTCATGGAGAGAATGCCAAGAGTGTGCAAAGCAGTAATCAGAGCAAAGGGTGGCTATTTTGAAGAAACTAGAATATAAAACATGTTTTCAGTTATTTCACCTTTTTTTGTTAAGTACATAACTCCACATGTGTTCATTCATAGTTTTGATGCCTTCAGTGAGAATCTACAATGTAAATAGTCATGAAAATAAAGAAAACGCATTGAATGAGAAGGTGTGTCCAATCTTTTGGCCTGTACTGTACATTTTTGAGTTAGGGGCAAAAACAAGGTTTGTGAGGTCACAGTGACCTTGACCTTTGAGCTTTGACCACCAAATTGTAATTAGTTCATTCTTGAGTCCAAGTGGACGTGGAGAATTTGATAGAAATGTTAGCAGATAGAGACTGTCATTTTATAAACACAGTGAATAAACTCTCAGTTTTACAGAATGATTTATTTTGCACTATAATGAGGACAATTGGAAACTGTTTCTGTGACCATCGAGCACATGCCCAAATGGTTTAAATTGCTGCTTAGACATGAATAAATACATTTTATATTTTGTAGCATAATCTAGACACTTTTTTGACCTTGTTGTTACAATATTTTAGTTTTATCACTTTCAGAAATGTCTCTTGTGCTGTTTAGCTTAGCTGATGTCTTTCAGCCTTAGGTGAAGGAAGAAGCGCACTGATAACAAAGTCTGACACAAATGAAGGGAAGTAGGACAGAGGAATCCAAAAAAACTTGGCATCCCAGCCTGCACTGTAACGTGTGCGTGGGAAGCGAGCTGTCAGTGCGTGCTCCATACACCTGGTGACCTTGGAGAGATCTGGACTGCACAGGATGCCCAAGGAGAAGTCCTGAGTTTTCAGATCTGACAGGAAGAACAGAGCAGAGGAGTCATTCAGAATATTTATATATGACACTAGTGCTGAGTGTGATCAACTGTACTTCCACTCACAGTCATCCAAGAATGTGTATCCATAGGAGTCTTTGACATCTTGAGGGAGGCGGGTCCACAGTCTCCTCAGGTCAGCTTCAACAACATCCGGCCTGCTTGCACCTGTCTTGAAGAAACCAGGCTCGATAATACTCACTTTGATACCAAAGGGCTGCATGTCCCTCCTGGGCACAAGAAGCAGAGCATTATGTTTCTTTAGTGCAGCTGGAGAGCTTTTTATTAAGTATTGTACTTTAAAAAAAGTATGAGGTATTTCCATTTCATACTACTTCTTCCGAATACCTGAGGCTGTTGGAGAAGGCTTCCACTCCCCATTTGGACAGGCAGTATCCTCCACCAGTGAGAGTAACTCTGCCCAGAATACTGGCCACATTGACCACCCTGCCCCGGGCCTTTTTCAGCAGGGGCAGAAACTGGAGCGTCACATCAATGAGGCCGATCAGATTCACATCCAGAACCTTAGAGAAATCTTCTAACTGCATCCATTCTGTTGGACCCATGGGTATGGACCTGCCGGCATTGTTCACCAGACCCCACAGACCTGCTGAGAAAGGAGGCAGGAACATTACCAGCGCATATCAACCTCTGATCTTTATCTCTTTTTCACTGATTCTCAACTCATGTACTTGAAAAAAGGCTCAATCTGAACAGATATGTCCTTTTGGATATGGCTGATTTTCCCCAGAGGTAATGATGGTGGAACTGTACTTTTCTAATCAGTGTTAAAATGCCAAAATACCATACAGTACTATGGAGAGTGGTACTGTATATAATTAATACTGTATAATGTTTGAGAGTTATGTTTACTACTGAATTCCACACAAACAGACCAGGCATGTTCACTTAGTCAAATAAAGGTTTAAAAGTGTCCAAAAAGTTTACACTCAGTCAGGAAAAACTTTTGTTATGAATTTACTTTACATTTATGTTTAGAGAAAATGTAATGTGTCCCTGACTTTACAAAATGCAGACTATATGAGGTAAGTATTTCCTCCCTCCTCTTTAAAATCAGAGGGCATATTAAACATATCAGTAGGAGGATGATGAGTCGATGATGGGATGGTCCAGGTTGCCTTTATCTCTCCCAGTGCCTCGCTCTGACTGGCACCCTATCAGTGTGTACCCCCTGCTGCTGTCTGCCTGGCTCACCTCCATCTCCGACCTCTTTGCTCACAAACTCCACCGCCCTCCTGATGTTCGCACTGTCTGTAACATCCAGCAGGAGAGTCTTCAGTCTGGGGGAGGCTGCTGCTGCCAAATCTGTTGCACCTTTCTCTGTGAGACATGCAGCTATGACGTGGAAGCCTTTTCCATCCAGCTGCCTGGCCAGCAGATTCCCAAAGCCGCTGTCACAGCCTGTGATGAACACATGCTTCTGGTTGGAGCCATCAACCTTGCAGGAATCTCTGATGTACCATCGGATGACAGCGAGAGTGGCCAGAAGTGAAGCACAGGTTAAGGCCAGGTGTGACAGGATTACCTGAAACACAATCCACAGATATGACATCATGCCTCCTTTTAGCTGCAACCAGCAGCTTTATATGTTGCTCTGTCTGCTGGTCGGTCCATAAAACTATCTCCCCACCCTTTGGCAGCCACAGTTTTTGCCCTGGAAGGGTGAAATTTGACATTGAGGCTAAGTGTGTGTTTGTGTTCATGCCAGCTGGCTAAAATGGGGTGTGGTAATGGAGGTGGTCATGAGCCAAAAGACAGGTCAGGGGTACATTCCCATGTGAGTGAATGAAGGCGAGGGACAATCGCCAGCCAAGGTGATATTCATGCTGAATATGGGCAGTGTCTGATTTGACAGTTGTATTTGTTACTGGTTAGACCAGTTAGACATGGCAACAAAAGGCAGTCAACCACACATCCTTCTTAGCTACTGGTTGAGTCTGTGAGTTTGTTTGTCAAAGTTCACCAAAATTGAACTCTTTACAATGATAAGTTGCAAATTTGCTCTGCCACGGGAGGCAAATGTTTATTCACCCCTTTAGCCACACTGAATGGAAGTGAAGGGGAGGTAACTGTTCATGCCAGCTGGCAAAAAGGGGGCGAGGCAGTGGGAGTGGCCTATAACAAAAAGGTGCATACTTTCTGAACAGATTCACATAACTTGACCAAACTTTGTGGAAACGTAAACACACACACACACACACACACACACACACACACACACACACACACACACTATAGCAACCACAGCTTTCTATCTATGAGGGTGAAAGTTGCTGTGGAGGTCATGTGTTTGTGAGGTTGTGTGGACTGCATAAGCATACGTGGTCGCAGCCACTGAGAATCCACACTTACTTCTCCTAAATATTCTACACACATTCTCTAAAGGTAAATAAAAAACGTGAAAAAGAAGTGAATGTTTACGCAAATAATGCAAACAAAGAGAAATCTACTCACACTCACCTCTAATAAATATGTTGTGAGATTGTCAGCTGACACCTGTGTGGAGAAGCATGGAAGACTGATATTGAAATACCCAGTGTCTTTATGACCAATTAAAGATCAGCCTTCAAAATATTGGACTATGCAACAATAGTTAAAATTAGCTCCTCTGCAACCAATAGTAAAATTCTACTTACACATAAATGCATTCATAATAATAATAATCCAAGAATAGCCTACAACGTATAATAATACGAAACTTGTATGGTTGATTTCGTAGCACAGTAAGTACTTTTACTGTTGATGCTTTAAACACATTTTTAAGACATTTTTTGCATTGTGGTGTAAATCTAAACACCAAAAGAGGTTAAGTGCATGGGGTTTATTTTTGGTAAACTGATCCTTTAATGCAACAATTGTCACTCAACCACCAGATGGCATTAGATCTTATTAAGCTGATTTTTGTAAAAAATAATAATAATAAAGTGTACAATAAGTCAACTAATGTCAAGTTTCTGTTCTTTAATTTTGAGTCAAATAAATAGAAAGGTATAAAGTTAATATACAAATTATATTTGGGTGCTCTAACTCTAAGTTGAATTATTATTTTGTGTAAAATGGAAAATAATAAATGCAAACATACCATGGCCACAGTTCTTTAGAGGATGTTGTCTTGTGTAGTTCAGTATGTGCATAGATTACTCCAGACAACAATGTGCCACAACTCAGAGTATTAATTCAATATACACATGCAGGTTGGCTGTCTTGCAGGAAGCTGAACTTCACACACACTACTGCACTGACTTTCTCTGTCTGCATGTGCTATGGACCAATCACAGTCAAGCACTGTTCTGCATCCAATAGGGACATTTGCTGTCATATCATAGGTAAGGTGTGGCAAGTTTATTTACATAGCACATTTCAACAACAAGGCCATTCCAAGTGCTCTACTTGAAATATCATAAACAGACCAAGTGCGGGGCGTCGGTGGCTTAGTGGTAGAGCAGGCGCCCCACATACAAGGCTGTTGCCGCAGCGGCCCGGGTTCGACTCCAGCCTGTGGCCCTTTGCTGCATGTCACTCCCTCTCTCTCTCCCCCCTTCACGCTTCTCTGTCCTATCCATTAAAGGCTAGAAATGCCCGAAAAAATATCTTAAAAAAACAGACCAAGTGCAGAAGAAACACATAAAAAAGGACATTGAATTCTGTGGAAAACAGACATTAAAGAGCCAAGAGAATAGAAAATAAAAACAAGCTTAAATAGGACAGGTTTAAAATACAAGAATAAAAGTTAGTGTGTAGTTTGAGAAATTGATTATTATTTGATTTAATAAAAGGCAGTGATAGTCTTCAGATTTGATTGAAAAGAACTGATTTTGATACACAGAAAGCTTGTGTAAGGCTGTATTCACACCAAATCAGGTGTTGCGATAATTTGCTGCAGGGTTGTACAACAGTGTACGAGTGCCATTAAATGTTCCATTTGCAGAGGAGTGGAGGGTAGAATCTCCCCATCTCAGTGACTAAGTATTTGTCTTCGATAAGTTTGCTGATGTTTTCTTAAAAGCTGTCTAGAATTCCTTTTGATTATCATTACTGTATCTTTTCCACCACAGAAGACAAGTGTACATACTCACAAGCAAAGGGAGTGCTCTCCTTTGCTGGGTAGTACACTCAAGCTGTAAACACGTACTTTATTTCCTTTACCATATTATAATTATAATGCTTGTATTCAGGAAAACATCTCTGCACACAGTGAGGTTGAGATGATGATGTTCTCATTCTTGAATATGATGTCATTCATCTGTGAAAGTTCACCCCCACTATTCTGCTATGCTCTGAGCACATGCTCCTCTCCTCAGGCCATACTTCTTTGATTGTTTTCCTCAGTAGCATGAGCTCTGTGTCTCTTTTCAGTCTCTGCTCTGATCTTTTCCAGCTTAGTGTCCCTGACAGATGAGCTGCTGTATACAGTATCTACCTGCATGTCCATGCCTTGTGTGAGGCTGTTACTCTGATCAGACAGTAACTATCTGGAGAGAATATCTGCAGCAGGAATGTTCTTGGCTGGCCTGTGGATGATAGTGAAATTGTACCTCTGTAGCTGAAGTATCTTTCTCTGGATCTCTGGAGTCACTCTATAACGTCTCAAGTGGCTTGTGGTCATTACAGTGACTCAACAGTGACATAGCAAGTGTAAATGTTTGCAGCCAAATTTTTTTTAAATCTGAGCATAGTCAATTTCACTGTCAGTTAGCAATTTAGATGCATGGCTGATAAGCTCTTGCAGTAGGGCTGCATCTAGTCCATACTTGGATACTTCACCTTGTAGCCTTAGATATTTGCTAGGTTCAAAATATGTAGGGACTGGACATGGCTCTCGTGTGATTAGCTCTATCATTTTTCTGACTGCTTCATCATGTTGTACATCCCATTTGAATTTACTGGACAGTTTTGACAGGTCATGCACAAGTGCGTTGATTTCCAAGAGCATAGTGGCAAACTTTAAGTAGTTACAATGCCAAGGATGTGTCCATCTCACCTTCGTCTTTGGGTTGCCCCATGTCTCTCACAGCTGCAGTCTTGGCTGGATCGGGCTTGATTCTGTCTTTAGTTACCGTTCCCAAAGTAGCTGACCACAGTGGGACAGATCGTGCTCCTCTCTGGGTTGAACATAACTCATCGCTCTCTGGAGCGCTACAGCATGGCACGGAGGTAGTTTCTGCTGTAGCTGAGGGCATCGTTGACTGTCATTGTGACTCCCTGTCACAGTGATGCGGTGTCACTTCCTAAGTCTCATCAACGGAAACTTGTATTAGACAGATTTCAGCCCAAAAGGCATATAGAGCCTGACCTGACATCCATGATGCTTTGTTGGAGGCTCCAACCAACTCAATTGTGATCATCAAGAGTAGGTAAAGTGTATTGCAGTTGTTTGATAATCTTCTTCAAATCTTTGGGGTCAAGACACACTCTCGTGTTGTCTATGTGTCTTTTCTGCTGCTATCTTTGAACTGACTCATACAGTTGGTTCAGTGACTGTAGCTCATCTTTCAGGCAGTTACACAGAGCGTGGGGGAACACACCTCAGCGGGTGTACCCAAGGTACTATGCTGGGGTCTATATGAGTTGTGCACTCACTAGGAAACAGTCCTGTTCCTGTTTGGAGGAATTTGCACATCTGCAAAGGCCTGCTCCGTACCATTAATGTCAACTTGTCAATGTCCAAGTTGTCTATAGTCTGTCTGACTCATTTTGATTCAATGTGTGTACTCCTTTTCCTCGCTAGGAAGAATACACCTTTGCAAAGTGGCTCAACTTGTTGCATATCTTGTACTGTTTTCCTTCAGCATTACCTTGCTTGAACTGCCACATTTTTTAGGGCGCTACCTGTCTTCCTCTGTCTTGAAGAGGTTATCTGGGATTCTTTCTGCCCTGTCTTAGGTTTTCCTAGCTGCATTCTTTGATGGCTGCCAACTGATTGCATGAACCGTCTGGTCATGTGGGCTACCGTTTCCAGCAGCTTTAGTTTAAAGCTGTGCTTGTGCTATTTCATGAGACCAAACAATATTGATGGCTTTATCCAACGCAAGATCAGAACTTCTCTCTCACTCTAGGTGAAGGAATTTGACTTGACTTCCTGTACATGCTATACTTCAAAGTATCTAATTAACATACCAAGAATTGTTCAAACCAAGAATTGCTCAGCATCCAATAAGGATATTTGTTATCACCTCATGGTTGTCACATTGGGAACCCATTGGTCTGACAGCCCATTGGTCCGACATCCCATTGTTCCGACCATATTAAACCCATTGTTCCGAAGTCTGTTCCAAAATCATCATGATGAACTGTGGTTAAGGTCTGGTTAGGTTTAGGCACAAAAACCACTTGGTTAGGGTTAGGAAAAGATCATGGTGTGGGTTAAAATGAAAAAGAAAGTGGCAAACACATAAGCTGTGAGCCTGCTCCGCCTCAAGCCTTTCCCAGCTGACCCAGAGCCGGTCACAGCGCACCATCAAGGTAGAAATACGCCAGACGAGAGCAATTCAGCACAGCGGACCATCGGACTAATGGGATGTCGGACCAATGGGCTGTCGGACCAATGACATGGACCCGTCACATTAGTGTGAAACAAGTCTTACCAATATATTATATGTATGTATAAGATGCACATTCTGATTATTTTAAACAATATAGGCTACAATTTGTAAGATAAGAACATGATCTGTGTACAATATTAGATTTAAAATTAAAACATTATTTGTTAATCTATGAAGCCTGTATAACGCCCTAATAAGATTTCATATCATGGTAATTTTAATCAATCAATCAAGTTTTTACAGACCCCTTGGTAGAGTGCCACAGAACACACTTTGAGAATCACTGCCATTGAGAATGTGACAACAGGGTTAACTGTGTCACCCAACATGAAGGATTTGTAACAGACAATACCAAATTACAAAACCCCTGGTTTTGATTTGTGCATTCCACTTTTACCTTATCCTAAAAACATACCTCAGCCCAAAAGTTACAGACACTTCTCTGTATTTGATATTGAATGTAAATCAATGTTAAGAATCTGAAGAGCAGGTTTATACAGAGGAAGAGGAGCCAAAGTCCATCAAGAACAAAATCTTTACAAGTTGAATGAATTGTGATGACGTGTTTAAGATCATCCTTTGACTTAGGAAGCAAAAATAATTGATATTATAATCAATAATGTAGGGATGATAACTTCTGGAGTCAAAGACATCATGAAGCTTCAGTATGCACCAATGGCTTTAACTCCTAATACTTTCCTTTCCAATGAGGAACACTGCTTTTATTTGCCTTAGCTATAGAACCTCAAGCTATCTATTTATGCTCGTCACCAGATGTCTGTGGTATTTCAAGGGAAGGGACACAGCATAAATTATCTTTGTACGAAGACGATTTACTTCTTTATGTTACAGATCCTCACAGAACTCTTCCTGTAGTCATGTCAATCTTAGATCATTTTGGTAAGCTCTCTCGATGTAAGATTAATCTCTTAAAAGGTGAAATATTTCCTGTTAATTAAGATGCACAACAGATATCCTTCTACTCATACCCATTTATAGTGATTATGGATCGCTTTCTTATTTAGGTATAGCGATAACCCAAAAATTGTCTGAGCCCCCTTGTAGATTAGACTAGAGTGGCCTTTAACAAATGGTCAGTCCTACCACTCTTCCTGACAGGAAGGATAAATATAATTAAAATGAATATTCTCACCAAATTTCTGTACCTACTTCATTGAATCCTGATACTTTTTCAAATATCCTTCTTTAAAAAACTCAACAGAATGATATCTGAATTAAGCTGGAATAAAAAAAACTTCTCATGTAGGCCTACGATGAGCATTCTTACAGAAACCTATATCAATGGAGAGAATGGCCCTTCCAAATTGTCAGTATTATTACTGAGCAGGTAACTTGAGAGCACTGACATATTGGATTGAGGCAAGTACCCCTGACAGATTTCTATTTTGGGTATGCATGAGGCTTCCTCTTGTAGGCTGAAATCCTTGTCTGCTTTATTTTATTCAGAGATGCCTATGGCCCTACATAATACTTCTTCACATCCTACAGTCCAACAGTCTTTGTGTATGTGGGTTCAGTTACAAAAGCATTTTGACTGGCAGGGGGGCAACATCTATGCTCCAATAGCAGTAAACCTCCAATTTCCACCCTCTATTTAGGATAATACCTCTCGATTATGGTGAAATAAGGGAATTTACACATTAAAAAGGACTTAGAGGCAGACAATATATTTGCTTCATTTGAATAACTCAAAGCCAAATTTGACATAGCTTAAAACATAATGAAGAGCCAAACATGTTTTATAATACAGAAAATGTTTATATGATGCTATAAATGGTGTAATTCTTCATACGCAAAAACGTATTGCATGAAAAATAATAAGACACATCAGTGATCTTAAGGTTAGCCCAAATTCTTTTTAAAACAACTGATCTATTTTGACACACACTGAAGTGAAGACACTCTAGGTGTTACTCCTGGGATCATTTTACGAAAAAGGCTATCTGTGATGCAGGTCGGCATGTACGACAAAGGCAACCAGAAGAACTTTGCATCCCATCCAGGTAGGTAGCGAGTACGAGGATGAACGGCAGAGATGGCGTGCTCCATGCAGCTTACCACCTTCATCAGGTCGCTGTCAGTCAGCATCCTAAACCTCTGAACCAATATTCCAAGAGCTGAAAAGGAAGCATTTGACACATGTCATTTCTAATTAGTTAATAATAATTTTCTAGGGATAGAGTTGTGTAATTTGGCACTTACTATAGGTAAAATACAGACAAGGATCAGTTGGTACACTACAAAATTATGAATCACAATAAAACAGTCAGCTCACAGCAGATTACCTGAAGCAAATGCTGTTTGTCTACAGGTAAGCATACAATAAATCATACATAAAGAACATTGTGTCTATTTTGAATGTGCATGTGTATGTACGTACGTACGTACGTACGTATGTACGTACGTATGTACGTACGTATGTATGTATGTATGTATGTATGTATAGAATTGAATGTGCATTTTTTTTTGTGCCACAAGTGGGCACCAGACCCTTAACAAATATGAGAAAGAGCAAGAAAATCAGTACTTCAGGTTTATTTCTATCAGCTCAAAAACATCAGACCACTTCTCTCAATGAAAAATCTGGTAACTAAAGAGTGTATACAGTATGTCAAAACCAACCCACAAAGAAAAAAGAGAGGAAATTTGCAAACACCCCCAAAAAATGTATGTAACAAAGCAACGTTTTGATCTCCAGAGTCTGTGGGCGATGTTAGCCTGACAAATTAAGCTGAAGATTTAAACACTATTGGAGTTTGACAGATGAGGGTTAGACCAGATTCAGTGATCAATCAGCAGAGCTGCACAGCTCATGACAGGCAGTACTCTGAAGGACCAAATGAAGACCAATAAATTTCAGCACAGAGCTGGTATTCACAGAATTAATGCAACTGTCCTTCAAGAGCAGCGTTCTGTGGCGCCACGGTCTGGAATGAACTTTCAAATGCAATGTGGACACAAGTACACTTCATCAACTGTCTTATTGTTTGTTAGTGCTCAGAATTTGCATAGCAGAAATGTTTTGGTATCTGTGTACTTTATTTCCTTTCAAAATCTGGACACTATCATTAATGCATTCATTACCTCTCATCTTAACAACTGTAATTACAAGTTGTCGCAATGGCCGTTTCTATTTTCCACTTGTGAGTCTGTGTGTGTGTCACCATGCCAAGACTTGGACCTGGTGACACCTATTGTAGCAGGAATTACCACAGAAGCCATTTAAACTAATTTGGCCGGTTATTAATATGTCCGTCTTTCTGTCTGTCTGTCTATGGACAGATTTTGGTTGACACGATAGCGTTGCAACCATGCATGCAGTCACAAAACTTTACAGGTGTGTAGTTGAGATCACAATTAAGGCTGAGTTAAAAGATGGGTGTGGTTGGAACAAATGGTGCCAGAAGTATGGGGGGTAGAGAGTAGGCAAGGGGATACTGGTCCCCCCACTTTAGACCCCTGGATGAAATTTGATTGAAGTTGCAGTTCACTGTATCGCAGCTGGAGCACTCCTATCGCAAGATGTTCTCTAGTTTGATATTCACTAGCAACAGAAAAAATATCTTTACTGTCAGCTTCATCAAAACTCTGCTGCTAGGATTTTAAATGGCTTTTATGAGATTGTTTCATTGTTATTTGTTGTGATTCTTATTTCTATTTTAGTATTTTGAGCAAGTAGTTTCTTTCTGTGTTTCATTGCTTTACATACTGCATACTTTACATACCTTGTTTTAAAAAAGTGCTATAGATAGTTTATCAAAAAGATTCTTACTTGACATTAGGTATTAAACTGAATGCAGCACTTGCAAAATGAATAAATAAAAGTCCCAAAATATCGAGCAAGATGATTTATGTCATGGAGAGGATCACGGATCATTTTTAGCAAGATGGGCATCATTCGACAAAACAATCTCCTCTATGTTTATAAATTGTTCAGTGATGTGCTGAGCTATAGCAATAAAATAAGTTTTGTGTTATTTTCTAACAAAGGTGGAGTAACTCACATTTTCCCAAGAAATCTGGTCCATAGTCGTCCTTCACATCCTGAGGTAATCTGTCCCACAGCTTCTGCAGGTTACTTTGCATCGCCCCTCCATCAGTCACATTTGTTTTGAAGAGGCCTGGCTCAATGCCTGCAACCTTGATTCCAAATGGTGCCATGTTCAAACTGAAACACAAAAGATGTTTGCTATAAGTCAGGAGGACACTCATGAGAATCAGAAAGATTATCCATGTGAAAAGGCTGCATCTTCTCTCACCGCAGGCTGTCGTTGAAGGACTCCACGCCATACTTGGACACACAGTAAGGTCCACCGAACGGGGTGACTCGCCCAAACACACTGGCGACATTGACCACTCTGCCTCTGGCCTTCTTGATGAGAGGGAGGACGCTCAGTGTTACATCGATTACACCAAACAGATTGACAGCAAGCATGGCCTTGTAGTCGTCTACAATGAGCCAGTCAGTGGGGCCAGACGGATGAGCAACTCCTGCATTGTTTACCACAGCCCACAGACCTGGAGCAACACAACAATATAATAAACACAGAGAGGTGAGACTGTTAATACATACAGTACATGTGTGGCATCACCAACAAGTGAAATGACTGTTTAAAAGGCAGAATGAGTGGTAAAAGAAAGTACAGACTCATACAAAAATAATCCCTCTCAATCATCACGTTTGACACACTTGAAGTGTGTGGCGGTGTATGCAGACTGTGCCCTCTGCCTGCATTTTCTTTTTCTGCTGTGTTTTTAATGTTTCTGAGCAACAACCTTTTGGCAGTGGTAAGTAGCCCTTACCAATAACAGTGCGCATGGTGTGAGGGTGGGACTCTGTAAAAACGTAGTTACCAGGAGGGGCAAACTTTGACAATTCAGTCAGGACCACTTTAGTCAAAGAAAACTTTATTTCCATTTGCAGTATTATATATGGCGGTATGGCTCTGTTCTGGGGCCTCTCTGCCTTTCCTTGGCCTATGCAGAAAGCCTCTTCCATGCAGCTATGTGGAAAGACTAAAGCAGAGACAGAAACCTCTCTGCCCTTCCGTGTGCAAACGAGGACAGCCTGAGGCAGAGAGAGCAAACCTCTCTGCCCTTCCATGCATCTACATGGAAAGCCTAAGGCAGGGAGAGCAGCAGCAAAGACCCCCCGGGAAAAGGACAGACCAAGCATCAATGCCAAGAAGAAATGAAACTGATAAGTCACACACAGCATGAAAAGGAGGAGCTGGGGTGGGGGTGGGTCGCAAGGTGGATTGCAGAGGAAGCAGCAACATCACGCAGGCTAAAGCAGTTTAAATAGGGTGCCCTGAATGAGATTCACCAATTGGTTGCATAGAAAGGAATCATGTGATCTATCAGCTGACTGGGCTGTTTGAGATCAGCTGACGTAGCTGGGATGTGAGCTGAGCTTGATATCATGTCGTGCCCGAACTTACACGGTGCTCAATTTATGTGTACAAACTGCAGCCAAAAAACCCTCCTCATTATGCCTTTAATTTCTAAACCTGGAGTAAGAGGGAAACTTGATATGATCGGATATGTCATATCCATTGACATCTCCACCCCACTGCCGAAGCAAAAACGCACAATCACCTTCCATAAACTAAACTCTGTTTTCCCTACCTCCCTCTCATCCTCCCTCTCTGAAAAAATATCCACTTCTCAAACATTAAATGTGACCCTATAAAAGGAGCCCCTAAAAGCCACTCACCCTTCTGTCCAACCAGAGTCCTGATGAAAGCGGCAGCTTTGCCGACACTCTCGGAGTCGGTGACATCCAGATGAATGGTTGTCAGTCTGTCAGAGGAGATCTTCTTCAGCTCATCCTCACCCTTCTCAGTGTAACACGCTGCAATCACATTGTAGCCCAGCTTGTCCAGGTGTGTCGCCAGGAGATTACCAAACCCAGAGTCACAGCCAGTGATGTAGACGTATTTATCTTCCTTGTTGGGCACTCTTTTTCTATCCTTGTACCAGCGATAGATGAGCCAGGAGGCCACCAGTCCGAGGATATACAGGTACATTATTTCTAGAGATGAATGGTTTCCTAGTAACCAGACTGTCAAATAAATAGGAAAAAACTCGCATTAACACCGCATAGATTTATATTATACTGACTCCAGATTAAATAAATGTTTACAAAAAGATAATTTGAGATAGCTGTGATAAATGGACACTCCGGTTTGTTAAAGTTTTATTTATTTGGAGTTCAGTTAGCCCTCCTTTAGTCTGGACAATTTTAGCATGTAGTTGACAATACAACCTCCACACAAGGTCCATTTAGTTGCTTTTCTGGAGCTTTTGACTGTAACACACAATCTTCTCCAGCAGATGCAGTTTGCCTTGTTGTTAGACAATCTGAGACTGAGACAGTAATCTAAAGCAGTCAGGTAAAATAAAAAAGGTACACATCTCTAATTCCTTAACAACTGGGCACACTCTGTTAACTGATAAAGATTGTGTGATATGTCCAAAAGCTCCACAACTGCTACTTAGTGAATGCATGACATCAGAAAGAGTTGTCAACTTGTTTAACTATGTTTCCATCTTCAGAATCAGTCAACTAGATCTCAGTGAAAAGGGTAGATTCAAAGGTCTGGACCCAGGCAAACTCAGTGACCATTCAAGTTCCCTACATCCCACAAGTTCTCTTAGCTCTTTCACTCGAATAAATATGTGAATAAACAACTCTGTTAAATGCTACAATTATATAAACAGAAACTAAACAGCCGTCACTAATGTACCTTTCAGCCCTCCAGCCTGAATCAGCTACCTGGCCTGCTGACAGGTACTGCTCAGTGCTGTTGTTGTGTGCTCTGTGCTAATGTTAGCTGCTTAACAGGAGGCTATCGCCGTATAGCAGCTCTCGTGCACTGGTTTGAAGGGTGTGCACTGTCCAACCATAGACTGTGTGTGCCACTATAGATATGAATGTGTGTGTATGTGAGTGTGTTGGTGCATGTGTACACATGCGCCAACACACTCACATATCATTATTCATTTATGTGCTGCCAACTGGGTTACTCTAACAAAGTTTTGTAGTATAACATACAATGACAATAAAGGATCTGTCTGTCCATCCGTCCGTCCGCCATACTGGATTAACTGCTGATGAGAGTGTTGCTGCACGGCGGCTCGTGCTTCAGCCCAAGGGGTGTGTGTGCTTTGTGCTACTGGCTTCTAACGAGTGTCTGTCATTTCGCAGCGGCTTGATCTTAATTTCAGCTCCTTCAGGGGACAATCCCCAAGTGTCTCAGAGTTGAGAATATTGTTCATTTTTTCACGAATTTGAAACCTAATTTTCTATACTTTGTGATTTTTTTAATCATTCAAATTTGGCTGGGTGGTTAATACACATTTTTCTGTGGTGTGACAAACTCATTACACATATTTATATTTGCTTTATGTAGACTTTAAAGTGAAACTGTTGTGTCAGCTACTGTTTCAAAGGTCAAGAATAAACTTTAAATCTTATATCTTATCTTATAGTCTGAGGCCTTCAGTAGTCCCTTTTCAATAAAATATTAAATAACAAAACACTACAATAAAACACTACATTGACAATTATTAGCGACAAACTGATACCTTTAACCATTTAACCTTAAATGAACCCTAAATTTAATCCCGCTGAGGAAAGTTTAAACATGAAACTGAGACATGACAAAACCTGTTTTGCCACAGGAAAAGCCTTCAGGAAAGACTATTGGTGTGATCATGGAGGTACACTTTTGGAGTGATGCCAAGATCTTTATTGAGCTGATGGCAGCAGCATTTGCCCATCCCAAGAATGGTATGCCATCCGTTTTCTGCTGGCAAATACTGACAAACAGTATGTGGCGGCATCACACTGACGTTGTACACATTTGTTTACTGTTTGTCATAACTGTTTGTCCCAGTTTGATATTGCTCAGTGTAATGCAGACACATACCATTTTACAATATAAGACAGTGGGGCATGAGCGGCATACCATTCTCAATATCGGCATATGCATACCATCTGTCACTTTTTGATCTTGACACCACTGCATTGTTATGCGATATGTCCTCATGTGCACTGTTCTTTCTCAGTGTGATGCCACACAAATCTAAAAAATGTTTAGTTTTAATCTTAAAATGGCTATAAGCGAACTACACTGTGGTCACATGACATGAGCGTCTTTATCGCTGAGCTTGTTCTTTGGCGCAATGGCGTTTAATGTCCCCAGCAACCTCTGTAACATCTTTAGCCATGTGTTAGCAACTGGCTTTTTTAAGACACAGATAAGCTTTAAAATTTCTCTTTATACATCATGGGTGCAAGAAGCTATGTTTTTATAAATGTCTGTAGGGGTATATCTGTAAAAGAGATGATAACGTAGCTATTAGGCTGCATTCACATCGATGCAGGCGTTGCCAGTCCTCGCTTTCATTTGAATGTGAACAGTGGTGGGACCACAGGAGATGCAAAAAAAAATAAAAAATAAATAAAATAAAACAAGAACTTCAGGTTGTGGTGGATAATCATGACCAGAAAAATCCACAAGAACAAGTGATGCAGTCTATCCATTGTTAAATATAAAGTGAGTAACAGAAATAAAGGATGTGTACAGAGCCGTGTGCACCATCCTGCAAAGTAGAGCACTACTTTTTTTCACAAAATTCTTGCTTTAAAGGCAGAACATTGACAACTGAGCAGCCTAGTATTTTTATTATATGTTGAGGAAATATGTCAAAGCACAAAACAGTTACTTAAATATTTTGACAGTGGTTTAAATTTGAATCACCTTGAATTTTAATGGCTGCCCTCTAGATGATGGCTAAATCAATATTGTGTCACTAACATTGTTAATATGGCTGAATTCAACATCCAATGTTTATTCAGCGTCGATCATATGAGGCTTTTCTATTTGGCTTCATCTTCTATCTGTGCAGTGACTCAACAAATTCTGATGGATTAACTGATTATCAAATATGTTGCTAAGTAACTGATCCGCTATTGAATTAACTGACTGATCTTTGAGCTCTGTAATAATTAAAACATAGTGTTAGATTTAACTTACATTTAACAAATTAGCCAGGTGAACTGAGACTGAATAATGAATACACTTAATATTAGGGCTGATAAACTGAAATAAAATAAAAAAATAATTAACTATTTAACCAAAAAATATGTCATTAAACAGACAGTTCAAAATCCAAAGATATTAACTTAAGACAAAGAACACCAGCAAATCCTAGAAACTACATTTATATATATCTAATTTGAAATAGCAATAAAATCAATTAAATCACAATCTCTCCTTATTCAAGTTACTTAAACCCAAACCTGCAGACTCAGGTAACGATCCCACACGCTCAGGTAACAGTGTGTGTCATCTACCCACAGCCATGATATTACCTGTGTCTCCTGTGCGTGTGTTAAACAAACTCGAAGAAACTTAATTAAAGTAATTATTAAAATAATCTTGTAATATAGAAAAGTACTTTCTAGGAGACAGTTATGATATTTTTGCTTAAAAATGTCCAGAAAAGAAAGAAACTTACACGTATGACACGGTGAGTGAATGAATCAGTGTCGCACTGTGCAGCAGCTGGATGTGAGTCTTCAGGAGGCAGGCTCAACAAACTCTGAGCCTGATCCCAATCTCAGAGTTGGCCTGAGCCTGAGCTGGAACACTCACCTGAGGACACTTTCGGCTCCAGAACAGCTGTTCAGAATCAGTTTAATCAACTCTCAGCCTGAAGGAAGTGTTCACGGTGAGCACCACAAGGCATCATCAATGGAGCGCAGATAACATGATTGTCAGTGGCAGGAAGCAGAAAGCCACTTGTATCATCCCAGCTGAATCAGACATTGTAATGAACAAGAATCAAGACATTTTTTTAAAGGTTATTTTTTTGGGGCTTTTGTTGCCTTTAATGGCAAAACAGCATAACATTAAGGGGAGAGAGAGGCAGCAAGGGACTGCAGGCTGGACATGATCCCAGGGGCCACTGCATCAAGGACTGGGCCTCAGATCACGAGGCGCCCGCTCCATCCACTAAGCCACCGATGCTCCATCGTACTCACTTTGATTATCCTTTCTGATTTATGCATAGGGAAAACCACAAAAAACTGGCAAAAGTCCTTTCAGAGCCAGAGTCACTTTTCTTATGACAAACCATTGCCTTGTGTGTGTGTGTTCAGTGTCTCTGATGTTAGAAAGAAAACTGCCGCTGCTGAAGAATCAAAGGGCAATACATAAAAGATAGATGAAGCAAACCTGCTGGCTGGCAGGTTTGCTTCACAGAGTATTGCCATAGTAACTGACTCAGGGTTACACTGAAGTGGCTTTGTGAAACGGAAAACTCAAAGTTTACCTCATCTCAGGCTGAACATAAGAGTTTTCACTAATCCTGCTTTCTGAAATAGGGCCCGAGGTGGTGGAGGTAAATAGCCGAATAGTCTACAACATTTTTGTTGTTGTTGTTGTTGTTGTTGTTGCTTTTTCTTCTTCTCGTTTACCTGATCTTCCGGGAGCTGCCCTCCTCCGACCTCTCTGTCACAGGTTATGATGTGTGAAAAGCGACATCTGCTGGAGACTGCCTGATAATGGCAGCTAGATAAAACCTTGACATGGGCTGTTTCCATAGCAGGCATAGAAAGAATACCAATGTCTCTAAACAATATGTTTTATTTTTATTGTAACATTACAAATTCACCAAAATATAATAAGACTTGTTCATGAAGCTGCATTAATCAATGTGTTTCTAAACTTTAAAGAGTGATCAACAATCCCTTGCTTTGAATAATAATTCGTGTTTTTTGTTTTTGTTTTATTTTTTTTAGCTTACTACAATAAGTTAAATTACCTCTTTAAAGTTCTTTAAATTCCATCTAATCCTTTAACCTGATTGAACCTGCAGAACAACCACTGCTCCACCCAGCTTGATCTTGCTATTAGGTACAACTACAACTCCAAGGAGGTGATGTAAGTGTGCAGAAATCTTTTTCTACCAGTCTGACCTCATTAAATCTAAAATCTATGAATATGCAGATACTAGGCACTATTTTACAGCAAGTTGCACCTAATAGGCTAAATGAAATATTTTACATTAACTCCCTCCTACCCAGAGGTGGGTAGTAACTAGTTACATTTACTCAGTTACATTTATGTGAGTAACTTTTTGGATAAATTGTACTTTTCAGAGTAGTTTTAATGCAAAATACTTTTTACTTTTACTTGAGTTATATTGTTTTAAAGCAACAATACTCTTACTTGAGTACAATATTTGGCTACTCTACCCACCTCTGAGTACATAATTACATATATATATATATAAATGTACAGTATAAGAATATATTTGTGTTTCTTGTGCCTTGATTTATGTTATGTTTGTAAAGATTTAATTATTTTTGTTTTAGTTAAAGGGGTATCGTTTAAAATACATGAATTTGCAGATTATTATTTTTGATTGATTGATTACGTTCATGTTCTTATTTTACAAATAAATCAGACGTTACTCAACAGTTACTCAGTACTTGAGTAGTTTTTTCACCAAATACTCTTTTACTCAAGTAATTATTTGGATGACTACTTTTTACTTTTACTTGAGTAATATTGTTCTAAGGTATCAGTACTCTTACTTGAGTACAATATTTGGCTACTCTACCCACCTCTGCTCCTACCCTTCAATGCTGTATGGCCACTTTTTACCACCTACTTTGTAATGGCCTAACACAGGAAACTGCAATGCCAAATTCTCAAAGAATATTCTCAGAATAGTCTCAACAGTTAGTTATTTATATAGCACCTTTCAGGACACTCAAAGACGCTTTACAGTGCTGAAAAATGTCAATGATAATGAAATAAAAACAAAAAATGACTGTTGGAAACTAGGGGAATGCCAGTTTGAACAGATGGGTTTTTAACAGTGATTTGAAAGTCTGTAGGGAGTCTGCATTTCTGGTGTTGAGTGGGAGGGAGTTCCAGAGGGGTGGGGCAGCGGTGGCGAAGGCTCAGTGTCCCAAGGTTTGGTGCTTAGTTCTAGTGATGGGGGTCAGGAGGATGGAGTCAGTAGAGCGAACTCGGTGGGTGGGGGAGGTCAGTGAGATAAGAAGGGGCAAAGTTATTGAGGGCTTTGTAGGTGATGAGGAGGAGTTTGTTCTGGATGCGGTATTGGATGTGGTCCCTGGGGGGGGGGGGGGTGGGTGAGTAACCGGGCAGCAGAGTTCTGTATGTGCTGCAGTTTTTGAAGACTGGTAGAGGGAAGACCATAGAGAATGCTATTACAGTAGTCAAGTCTGGAGGTTATAAAGGCGTGGATTAGTGGATGGAGTATTTCTGCAGTGGAGTGGGTGAGGGAGGTGCGGAGACAGGCAATGTTGCAGAGATGGAAGAATGATGTCCTGGGGATGTTGCTGATATGGGGTTTGAAGCAGAGAGTGGGGTCAATTATGATACCGAGGTAGAGGAAGTGGCATTGTGACCGTCGATGTGGAGGGAGAAGTCCTGAGGAGAAGGTAGGAGAGCTTTGGGTCCAGTAATGATGAGTTCTGTTTATTGCTGTTTAGTTTCAGGAAGTTGTTGTCCATCCAAGATTTGATGTCAGTCAGGCAGTTTGTGATGGTGGAAAGAATGACTGGAGTGATAGATATGGTGGAGATGTATAGCTGGGTGTCGTCGGCGTAACAGTGGAAGTGTAGTCCGTGGCGGCGTATGATATTTCCAAGGGGTAACATGTAGAGGACGAAGAGGAGGGGGGGCAAGCACCAAGCATTAGCTATAGGAGTGATCCAAGAGGGTTACTTTTTTCGTGAATCTTTTTAAGAACCTTTGAGAAACGTTACCTGAAGACACTTTAATAGTTTTACCAGGGGTGGAGTACCAAATTCTGGGCCCTATTTATATGCAGTCTCCACGGGCCCACTGCCCTTCCTCTCTGGATTGATGTTTCTCTCATGCAACTTTTGAAATGTTTGCTCTTTTTTGCTGTCCTTTGTTTGTTTCTTTATTTCTTTTCATTTTGGAACCCTGATTTTCCCTTCGTGGGGAAAGACATTTGTATGTTGTGGCTCCCTCCAGCAGCATGAGCAATTGCCCACGCCGCTGGTTTCGGTTTTGTTTGCCCCCTGCTGCATTTAGTGCCATTATTTACATTAACGGGAGCTTTTTTTTTAAATAACCAATGAATATTAGTCAGCCAATTTCATTTATTAGGCCTAGTTCCTAGTTCCCCCTCCCTGGGCAATCAGTCCCACTTTCTCCCTTTCTGTTGACTCCATGTTCTACACCTATATTTGTACACAGTTGTTAGTGCAGGCCTCTGCACACCAGACAACCCTCAGCTGTAGATCAGACAGGCAGTGTTTATCAATGCGTGTCTTTCAACTTTCCTTCTTGTGGTATTATCAATCACCTATGATGTGACTAATAACCGGCTGTAAAGAAGGAGCAAATTCCGAACCCAGGCCCTCTTGTCCTAGCGGGCATTAACCCCCTGAACATCTGCTTGATTAGGTTACCATAAGTTTGTCTCCAGGTCTACTTTTAGTCAACAATGTATTTTATACATACACTGAAATACAGAAACTCCACACTGTTGGGTAGTTAAAAAGAAATGGAAGGAGACAAATGGATGATACAGTAGATCTAATAATGACACACGAAATTAATTGTGTGTTTCAAAACTTTCTGAAATTAATAATTAGCCCTAAAACAGGTGAAATGTAATGGTTATGAACATGAGCTGATCATGAAACAATGGACCACTGGGTATAGACATGCAGAAGGCCCCAGCACCTCAGACACACAGATTTTGTAGTTTTTTCCCCTCTTCTTTGTTTTGCGTCACTTTGCAGTCGTTACACATCTCTCTGTGGTTTTGCTTCTCTTTTTGGTAGTTTTGTCTCTATTTTTTTTTGTATCTGTGGTTGTTTTGCCCGTTTTTGTAGTTGTTTAGTGTCTCTTTGTAGTCATTTTGAGTCTCTTTGTAATTCGTTGTGTCTCTTTGTGGTCATCTCTTTCATTTTGTGTGTCTTTGTGATTGTTTTTGTAGTTGTGAGTCTCTTTGTTTCTCTTTGCAGCTGTTTTGTATCTCTTTTTTAGTGATTTTGTAATTGTTTGTTGTTGTTTTATGCGTATTTGTGGTCATTTTGAGTCTCTCCCTGGTTGGCACATGTTAATTGGAGTGACATTTTGCAGGTGAGGCCAGGAGGGCCCCTGACACCTATGGTAGGCCTGTCCATCCGTGGTTTCAGAGTATTACTCAATTTGCAAATTTGCTGGCTAAATAGTTACTTCGCCCTGTAAATATGAATAACTGTTAACTAAAATAATGTAATTAGCCTAATTTAAGCTTCATGAAGGTATTCTAATGAATGCTAATGGCAAATAAGGACCAAAATGTCCCTATTCATGACATTTTAACTTGATTATGTGTGTATGGAGACAGCGCCTGACAATAACTAATGGCCTTACAGTTATGAAACCCATTTTACAATCACTTAAAATAACAAGGAAATACATTTACACAAAGGGATTAGTAAATTTCATATTTAAAAATCTCTCTGGGTTTGTTTTTGGAGCTACAGCTCTATGACTATCATAGCAGTAAATGAACATTAACTTGGTTTAGAGATTGATTTTGCCTCACAATGGCAGTCTAGTAAAGGTTTCATGCTCTCACAACTCTTATCAGCTAATGGAGGTGTAGATAATGGGAAAGGAGAGGCATAGGTGACCTGAAAATAAGACA